CACACCACCACTCACTTTCATTGTCTTTTGTGTTGGTTTTGGTTGGTTTTCACCACTAAACCTCACTTTGACTCACACCAGCAGGGGTCCCAATGTCGGTCGGCAGTTTGCCGCATGAGCCTGGGATGATAAACTAGTAATGTTTTGAATGTTAAGTCGCTCTCAGAAGGGAAAAATAGGACACACATACATCTGTGAGCATGCTGTGTAGCATGGCGAGCTCATGATTCGGCCGTAATATCTTGCTTTGAACCCAGATATTGTAAAAGTGCGTCTTCACTAATCCTGAGAATAGAAGACATGTCAGTTTTATACAGACTCGAAGTAGATATTATGATGCACCCAGGAAGAGATTGTGCATCAGATCTATGATGATTTGTGCAACCAAGTTGAAATATGGTAGGTGGGATAGCTGCGAATATTGTGTTGCATACTCTTTGACGAAGGTCTTCTGTGCATTCAGCGTTGCAAGGTTGCGATACTGATCACCTAAACGGCACTGCTCAGCATCTGTTCATGGCAGAAAAGCTGATATGGATAATAAGTTATTGTATACTGTCTGTGCGAGAGGCGGAAAGACATACCTCCTTGCTGAAACACATTTGGATTTGTCTTGTCTGCCACAGATATCCAGCACTCTGTACAAAAATAAGTATGAGAGTGCGATGTGAAGCCTCCAATCTTGTGCACTGCAGGCTTGTCGCATACAACCGCAACAAGGGCAACACGGACAAGCCATCCTAAGATAAGTCAGTAGACACTCGCATAAAATAATATTAGACATACCTTCAGGCCGTGATTCAGTGGGAACTTTGATACCATGCTTCCAAAGCCACAGTAGATCAGACATGATAGGCCAAAGAAATCGTTGTACCTGGTCCAGTGATTGCTCCTTTGGACCAGGCATGATACTCGTGCACATTAGATTTGCTGTCCAATACCTGCAAGGAAGGACAAAGCTGTGTGAGAAGAAAGATGCGAGGATATCATAAAACTTACCTGTATTCTGGTGGCAGGTTACAGATCGAGAACAATGTTGGAGCCGATGAATGGGATGGTGTGATATTGCTCCGAATGTATGAAAACCTGTCGTGAAGTACATTCAGTCAAATCATAAAGTCAGCAGGAAGAGCATACCAGTCCACGCCCAAGTTCACACCTAAGCAAAGCTCGCCATTTGGACCACCGCGTGCATTCATCTGGTTTGAAAAGAACAGATTGCCGTCGGGACCTTTAAGCTTCGTGCGGCAGATATTGCCATCAAATATGTCCATATACATGCCAGGTTTTTGTGGTTTGTCTTGCCACTTGTTGAGAGTAGCCTCAATGCCAGGAATCTTGAGGATTGATGCAATTTGCTCAGACAGTGGGAGATAAGGGTACTTAATAACTGGAGTCTTCAGCGTGCGAGTGTTGCCACGTAGAGTCTGCCCTGGAAGAAAAAGTTCAACGTGGCAGGATGTGCAGGTATCATGACAATGTGGTGACGAGGCCAGAGGGTATACATCACGACAATTCAGACAGACTGGTAACGTATGGATGGGTCTATTGACTCCGAGAAGGCGATTTCCTGACTGGAGCGTTGTGAATGGGGAGGTAGCAGTTGGGTTGAGAAAGAATAGTAGAAGAGTGAGGATTGCCAATAGCGCATTGCATGCAATGCGCGGGAGATGGAACTGGAGATGGAGCCATGATATGAGAGCATGTATGACCATGACATGCTCCAGGATGTCAGCGAGGTCTAGGTTATCTGATCGCACCTCTTCATCGATAAGGAAGGGATCGGGATCATCTTCATCGACACTGGGGTGGGGGAGGCCATCTACTACCTCTGCGTTGTGGGCATGATCAGTTTCATCAGCATAAGACCAGGATCCATTAGTGTAGGACATATCATCATAATCAAGGGGCAGGGCATTGTTCCGACTATTGTTCTGCTCATCACAAAGTTCTTCTGCAATATGTTGGAGCTGACATTCCATGGCACGCTGTTCTGGGTCAGGAGGGAGATGGTGGGCATGAAATGAAGTGAGAGGGCAAGCACCAGCAGACGTCCTTGCGTTGTACTCTTGGAAGTAGTCCACAGTGGAAAGCAAGGCCTCGGGGCTATGGAAGTTCGGTCCCAGATTTGGTAGTGCACTGCCAAAGGTCAGAATATCAAGGTCCTCACCACTGAGAGTACCGTGGTCGAGCATCTCTTGTTCTACAGTGCAGGTCGAAGTACATGGCGGGTCAGCAAAAGAGACATCAGGTGAGAGGGGGGGGAGCAGGCATGCATATAGGGTATGGAAATAATCGTGAGATGGGCCCTGCATCTTTAACGACTGAATGGATGACCCTATGCCCTGATACACGCAGCTGTGACATCTGGGATGCTTTTGTCCTCGCATGAAGGTCATATCGCGTATGTGCAGGCACTAGCGCTCCATTACACCCGAAAGATTTGCAGTTGCATTGCCGGAACCCCATTGGAGGTGTGTTCTTAGTGAATAGAGTGTGAGGCCTTGAGGAGGTAGCAGGAGGACGTGCACAACATTAATGATCACGTGAACATTATATTAGTTCCAAAAAAAGACAAGTACTACTTGCAAAAGCGTTTAGTGGGAGGGGTGGGGGTACTAGCTTCAGAGAATATGGGCATGCGACATCTTTTATTATTTTCCTGGCCAGCAATAAGTCCCTCTTGAATTTGGGCCCATCTTTCCTGAGTAATGATGAGTACATGACAACACAAATGATGAAGTTTACTTACACACAACAGTTGTGTACTCACAGTATCAAACATCTCTGATCCAGCAAAACTGTCTGGGGTAAAAGTATGCCTAATGGAGGGGCCAGAAACCTGCGTGGGAAGAGATGAGACTGGTATTTCTGAAGTAGTTTTCTAGAAAGAGGTCAATATCGAGAAAAGAATGGTTCATGAGTCACAACGTACCTTGACAGCCGCAGTTGGGGTCTCCTCCATACTTTTGGGCTCAGTTTCACTCTCATCAATGAGAGGAACACGAGGGGTGATAGGCAGGGCAGTACCACCCTCAGGGTTTGTCTGGCTTTTGTCGGCAGGTGGGAAATGGTCTGGAATACATCCGAACGGTCCTTGCATGGCAGGAAGTGGCTCAACATTGACGAGTAGAGGATCCTATGTAATACCATCAGCAAGGAAATGAATTATGCAATGACTTACTGAGACGGCTGAAACATGGGCATCTGCAGACTCCAACTTAACCCCACCAGTACCAATGTTAGCACCGAAGTCGACAACACACGCTTGAGTTGCATGAAAGGTATCATTGCCAAGCTCTGGTGACATCATCATTAGGGAGATTTCTATGGTCTGGTGTATGGCCATGAGTGGAAGACACATGAACAGTAATTAGCCACATGTACCACAGGGCCTTGGGAGTTTGGCTCGAAAGAGAGCATAACATTTTGGACGCTGGTTGGGACATGAAGTCGAAGGATGTGTGGCCTACGTTTGATGACTGTCGGGGGACCAACAAACTTGGTTTCGTCAGCTTGTGAGGTTGGAACCACCTGGTTAGCATTGATATGGAACTTTTGGAGGTGAGTGCATAGGCCAGAGGACTTGAGTACCACATACCTTGGGTTGGTTCATGGTGTACATGGCAAACCAGTGAACTTGGAGACCAAGGAAAATTTTTGCAAAGTCCATTATTTTTTCTGAGGGGTGCAAGGGCGGCAAGAGCCACTCTTCCGATGGTATTATAGTTGGACTATGGCCGATGGAGTCGAGCATAGTCAGAGTGGGGAAATGCATGTGCAAGAGGTCAGGCTATTGGTGTATTGACTATATTCAGATCTTGCCTACGTTGGATTATTTGGATATGTTACTCAAAAATCGTGGAGTCGGACTTTACTCAGACTAACAGCTATATCTTACAAAAAAAAATCAAGGTTGGATTATCTACATTTGGAGAATCCGGTTATGCCCCCTGCTAAAATCTCGTTTCCGCAGTGAATTCAGGTGCGACGAGTATCAGCAGACGTTTACATCATCGTTTTCCTTGGATCGTGAGTCTGTGAGTCTATAGATTATAATCTGTCCATCCTTACGTGCCCCTCTGGGTCACCGGCGATCACACACTGGCGAGCGTCCATTTACTTGTAGTATTCCAGGACGTGGCCGGAGGTTCTTTAACAGCAGCGACTGTAAACACCATGAGAAGAGCAAGTTCTTCTCGTTCAAAGCTAACCTCATTCACGTGTGCGTGCAGTTTGCATGGGACTACCCTCGAGGCACCGTAGTACCCATACAGCACCCTCGTCATAAGCAACCCAAGGACTTTTCCGAGCGGCTTGTTTTCCTAGACGTGTCTTCACACTGCACGATTACCCTTCGTACCGCATACCCTAATTGGGACCAAACGGTTGTACTCCTTCGTTTGTGTTGCAGTAAAGGTGGCTTCGTTGTGAAGCTCGCAAATTTGTCATTTCAATAATTCAGTGACAGGTTGCAGCAAATTCGATTCAGCGAGATCGTTCAGCATCGTAGAGACAAACGGGAGTCCAAAGCCATCGAAGCGTGCGTGAAGCGTCTAGACTAGGGTTCATGTGTCCGGAAAAAAGTCGTTCTTTTTGGCCTGTGCCAAAATGTGTGCCAGGTAGTAAAAGTATATGAAAAGAACAAAGAAAAAAAAGCGCGATAAAATGTTCGCCTAGCGGAGTGGAGTTAAAACAAAGGTTCGTTTCGAAAAACTGTCCGTAAAGTCCGAAGTTTAGTCCGAGTAGTTAACATTAGCAAACAGCGTCCGTATAAACTGTCCAGAATTAGATGGGTGTCCATGTAGATATGTTTGAGTCCATTAGGCTCGTACTCCAAAGAGGCGAAGACATTATAGCGAAACAGAAGCATCAAGGTGAGCGTTCAGTGTCCAAGCGTCCAATCGTCCAGCGAAGAAGTCGAATGAGTCTCTAACATTGTCCAAAGCGAACAATACACGCCGCCGCCCAGCGGTTACAGAGCCAGTTTCTGTGCGAGATTAGATTCCAGACAACCTCTTTTGTACTTTGGAGAGGGAGTAAACGACCGATGGAAAGCGCTTCCCGAGGTTGTTCATGGCGTAAAGCATAGTCCCAATTTCATGACGCACATCAGCGCTGCTGACCAGGGGCCACGATGTTTCGATAGCGAAGAGTTCCCGAACTAGAGCATCCACGACAAATGACCAACACGGCTATAAGAGTCTAAATTTAGATCAAGATCTTGAAATAACTCGATGATGCTTACTCCAAAGATGGGGTCCAGGAATTCATAGTCCGTCTCAGCAATGTACTCGACCAGAGACACGCAACACCTTGCAGCTCGAAGACACTTCTCATAAGCCCCAGGGTCTGCATCCCCAAGGGAATAGTTGAGATTGATCATCGCAACATTGGCTAGGGTGTACGCTGTGATGCAGGCCTGCCTATCCTCCGGCATGGCAGAGTCCAACTGATGGATGGGGATCTGGGAAGACAAAAAGCGCGAAATGGCTTGTTCAAGGGCTTGAAACTCGTCTGAGAATGTGTTGGGCAGCGTGAGTCCAACGTAGTTTTCGGTCGTTGACAAATAACCAGTATGGTTCAATCGTCTACGCTGTTCCCAGCGACATGTCAAGTGATGCACATGCTGGAAAAGAACGGAAGCCTTGATCCGGAGAGTCATTGCAGAGAAGCTGTCGCCGAGCCTAGAGACGCCGTCCTCTAGGTAACTCAATGCAGTAGAAAAAAGATGGTAGCCGTTGATTTGCCCCTGATAAATAAAATTCAGCAAATAGCAACGAAGAACGATATGGGATTTATTACCAGTTCATACTCCTTCATGTCCTGTGGCCAAGGCATAATCGCAGACAAACATCCTTCAGGACCATCAGGGATGATTACAGGCTTCTGGAGGATTGCAGACCAGCATTTATCGATGATGAAAACTTGCCAAAACGTCAATATCCTCTCTCCCTGCTCAATAGCATCCTTCGGCTGATCAAGCCTACAGGGTGGGAATGCCCCTGATGATTCAAAAGTCGTTTGCCCTGCCACGACACCATGCAACCCACATTGCATGGCTAATGATGCTGCAGTAGTTGCATGACAACTGCCCTCTATCGCCCGCCCATTTGACAGGAAGTAAATAGACAACAAACAGGATGCTTGGATGACATCGAGAATATACTGGTTGCGTTGGAGACCATCGGACAGTGCTTCAAGAGCTCGGTTAAGAAAATGATACTCGTGCTCGCTCAGTGGCGCCGGTCGCGAGAGATAACAAGCCCACAAGAAGATTGCGTTTGTTAGAACTGGATGGTGCTGCTCCGAAAGCGGCTTCGTGAATGAATCACGTAGCCGTCCTATGTGAAGACCGAGGAGGCACTGATGACGGTGTGGTGCAAACGTGTCGACCCTGGATAATCACGAGCACAGGTATAGTGATGAGATGGAACGAGAGATTAAGCGACTCACAGGATTTGTGCAAACTCCGCCGATGGCTGCTGGCTCATCTGGCATGCATCACTAGGTGTCGGTGAAGGCGACATATGAAATTGGACCCAGGGCTCTTGGGGGGAGCTTGTCACTGCAGAGCCAAGTGAGAGATACGGTAAACCTAGGCTAAGGAGAGCAGCATACCGGACGGCGGGAAGGGGGAATGGGGTGTTGAAAACACAGTGCTCTCTGGCGAGTCGGTTGATGACGAGGAATCACTCTCAGATCGCCGGTGGAACTGAGGATATTGCAGTGGGACCACAGGCGAAACATAATCCGGATCTTCCAATTCTCTGATTCGCTGCTCCAGGCGTTCGATGTTCTCCCGTAACATCTGCGTCTTGGTCTTTGTCTTTCCATCGTCATACTGACACAATTCTGGCTTCTTCGCACGGACGCATTGTTGGCATGTGGGCTTCATCCCATCACATCGCTGCATAGCCATCTGAGCTGACACATAGCGGCAAGACTTAAAGAGACGTACCATCTTCCGTTTCCTGGTCAAGCAAGCGCTCAGCGTCGAAAAAGTACTCGAGAGGGAAGTAGCCTTACCTGCATCGTAAGCAAGCCTTGCCCCGTTGAAGTGCAGGTAGGGGCATGTCGAACGATTTGGTGGCCATTATAGAAATGTTGCTAAATATACACGAAAAGAATTGAACCTGGAGTGAGAAAATTCTGAGGGTCGGGCAGCGAGCGACTAGGTGTGGGGCGTACGATATATGACGAAGGAGAAATCTGGAGGCCGATGAAGAGACTAAAGAAGAGAGTTGGATGGACGCTGGAGAAGGATACGCATGAAATGAACAACCGACCGCGAGACGAGGCAAAAGCCTGTAACGTGGGTGGATTTCTGGATCATTTAACGGGACATCGAGGCTCTCCTCAAATACGCGAGCGCTGGCACATGGATATGGACTTGATCATAACATTTCATCAGAGGGTTTTGTGTGTACGTAAGCCGATCTCGGATCAGGATCAGGATACCACCTTCCTCGGCAACCCCCGGGGTCACAGTATCGTCATCCTCATTACTAGCGGCGGGTCGTTTCGTCCGCTGCATGGATCAAGTTCCTTCTCCCACGAACGGCGAGTCTTCGCCGTGAACTCCCAACTGTCCCTCCCCCGAGTCCTGGTACCAAAGCGCATTTTTGTCTCGATCACCTCTTCTATAGCCAACCGATCTGAAAACTCTTTCCTGTATTAGACCTGATGTCCGTGCATTCAGGACATCAGAGGACATGGCTTTGAGAGTTGCATTCCGTGACGAATGTCGGATGCCAAGCCTGTCCGTGGCTATGCACCGCACCATGCAACCAACCAGTTCGTGTGTTCTGCTGTAACTGGTGCTCCCGCACCCAATATGATTTGCTTCCGTCATTACCGGACGAGATTTACCCTACCGCCGGCTCCCCGCAACTTCCATCACAGCGAACGACCATCGAGCGAAAGTTCTGGAGAAGGACACAGATTGAGAAGACTCCGCGAGGTAACCCGCAGCAGCTCTGATGTCGAGCAACTGAAGGGTGTACAAGCTCACGTGGTGTAACCGCAGGACAGTGCCACGTGCAGACACTCAGTAGGTTTTTTGGCTGCCGCTTGAGGACCTTCACATCTGCCATATGCCGAGGGCATGTGACTGGCTGCCGTACTCAATAGCTCGGGTCCGTTCATCAAAAGCCATGAAATCTGACTTTACAAATACTCCTTTTCGCACAACGAAGCTTGCAGACCGGTGGTATTCGTTTCTGGCATTCACATCACGCCGCCTAGCCTTGATCTGAGTCCTCATCATCCACACTGGCCTTCTGAATCGGCGGTTTCTAGACGCAAACATTTATTCCAATTTCCGTCACGTGTGGTGAGCACCAGGGACATCAGACGGCAGACTTCCCTTCTCTTTTCTCCACCTTGAGAGATCTCGACGTTTACGTGGGGTTGTGGAAATATGGTTGATGCACGTTTCCCGATCATACCTCCTCCCACGATATCAAAATCTTATTGCCACATCCCTACTCTCTACGTCACCCCACAGACTGAAGGACCTTACTGACCTCTGAATCGCTAGCCCTGAAAATCAACCCCGCGGAAGAACCCATCCTTACGAATCCGAAAATTCATACTGACCTCTAATTTCAAGGCAATTTTCGTGCGCCCTACCCAATATTAACGTCTTGCCGTCGATAAGAGAGGCCCTGACATGATATGTAGGTGATAAACAAGGTTTACAAAATTCTCTGCTTCTGTTTCCCAAGCGAGCTGCATGATTCCAAGGCAATGTTTCAAAATTTTATTGGCTAACGTTTACTCCGAGGTTTTGTCGAGGAATGTGGGAGTGAATGTGAACCGGCCACTATAGCTGTTAACTGGCTCGCTCACATCGACTCCCGTCGGGTGCGGAGGATGGGTTACCTAAACTCCCTCGGCCCTGAGCCATGGCGGTGCCTGCTTCTAATTGTTGACAAATCTCACGGGATGACAGGGAATCCCAGGTCTACTGAGATCGAAGTGAGACGGATCCGAGCGAACCTGTCATATCGTAGCACACTTCGACACTCGGATCTCGCAACTTTGGGAGTTCCAGCGGGCCGTGGCTTTTGACAGTTACCTGTGATCCGTTACGAGGGGTTCGGAAGATGTTTTCAAATTATGGAACAAAGTGCTAGCTGCTGGTGATCAATTTCTCCGTGCCAGTGAGCCATTACTCTAGTCGTGTGCTATATACCTAGTCAACTTGCGGGTTACAGTAAGTGTTATTTCTGAAGGTCGATCGTTGCTACGTACTACGGCAGTTGGCCTCCGTTTATTCCCTACATTCGCTATCTCCCATTGACCTCTGCAAAACCTTTCCCATCTCTCCCACCAGAAATATTAAGTACCTATGCACGCGGGAAGCCGATTGCTGAACCATGTGCACATGAGGTGCTAATTGGGGTGATTTCGACACCCTCGGTATGTTTTGTCGTGGTTAACTACCGCAGCTACTCTCAGTGACACCCAGCGGCACCTATAGACATGCAATGCAATCCCCCTAATAACCACTGTCACATCTTGATGAAGTAGCTCAGTGGCTGTTTTTTACACAGCCTCCTCAGTTTCAATTGAATTCTTATAGTAACTGAGTGTCGGCGTGTGTGCCCCGAGATTTGGCACAGTCTCTCTTTGATGATTCTGCCCGTGTGACATGTGATATACGATACATAGATAACGGGTCCTACTGCAGTTCCAGTCCTGTAGAGTGGCCCCTCCAGCACCGATTCTACAGATTACCATTTGTATGTGACACCTTTCCGGAATTAGAATATTCCGCATTTTTAGTTTTACAGTCACGATATTATTGAGGTGGAAGTCCCCCGAAGATCGCATAACCGTATCAGGTTGTTGTTGTTGTTCGGCAAGTCGAGGAACCAGTGATTGTGTGATGGCTAGTAGTATCTCTATAGTCGTTGCGTAATTCTCGAAACACACATGGCCCGTGACGCGTTGATACCAATGTCTGTGCTCAGCCTGGCTTGGGAATGAAGTAAGCTTGCGTGTGCATCGGGAATGTGGTGCCTCTACATCAATTTTCCGAGGAACCTCGGTGGAGAGATTACCCATCACTGTCGTTGCAGAGGTGCCCCTGCTTGTAGACAAACTAGTGAGATCGTAGTGTCGGAATTGTTAGCGTGTCACGGCGAAAGCATCTGAGAAGTATGACAGGCAGAGAAGGCCAGAAAGATTTGATTTTGAGGAGCGGAAGATGTCCTTGTTCTTGATCTACTCCACGAAATATGCTGGCACTACAGGGATGACTCACTCGGCTGCAAACAAAGACAGGGAGTGCGGGCAAGAGCAGACGGTTTGAGTTGCAACGCCACGAAAACGGAGAAAGGTCGTTTGAAATACAGTGGTAGCAGCCTTAGGCAAGGAAGGCGGCGCGGCCCAAGAGCCAGAAAGGACAGACCAAGGGTCGCCCGGCTCCTGCGTCTACAAGAGCGAAGATACCAGTCCTCCCCGCAGCACACAAAAGGCTTTGTTAGCGGGAAGACATCATAACAAAGGAGCAGCTCTTGGAAGCAGGCGATCATGGCTATCTTCGAGTCTCGCGTATGTTAAGTCTGCTACGTAAGTTATCAAGACAAAGCAGGACGACATCTCCAACGGCGCCCGCAATGGGGGCAATACCTATTTGTGCTTGGGTGGTGTTCTTGACATGTGAGGAGGTTTTGGTGCGGAAGAGAGTAAGGGCCAACAAGAGTGCAGGCGCGACGGAGTTATCATAAAGAAGGCGCAAGGGTTTGCACTTCTTTAAGCCAGTATTGAGAGGGAAGCCCAAAGTTGGGGTAAGCCACTATCGGTCTCTTGCAGATAGTACAAGAACCTGTTTTCCAGAGGTAGATACAACGGGGCTAAGATATGATGATTCTTTGTGGGAATGTTGACCGTTGAAAGTGCGAAAGAAGACACGGCAGAAGGCTACGATTACCTTAGCAGGACACTTGTGGCACCTCGTAGTCGGGTGACACTGAGGTGCCAGTAGGAGTTTCCCAGTGAAAACCTGTAAATAAATCCGATTTGATTGGGTATTTTATTGCAAGGATCCATGGGCCTGATTCACTGTAGGCAGAGTATATTAGCGCGTAACTGCCCATCACGCGCATGAAAAAAGGGGGGTAACCCTGGCAGTGAATACCGTTTCGCGTTAAGGAATTGATATCCAACGATACTTGCAACAAGGGCGATGTGGAAGTACTGTCTTGACGCCCTTGACCTTGACGAGGGATATTGAGTGTCGTGATACACGTAACTGGCCTTCCCCCGCGGCACACCATACACAGATGTTGTTAGGCCACCTGAAAAACGTAACGATTACCAGCGGAGCACTTAAATAAAACCGTTACAAGTGTCGGCGGTGAAATATTGAAACCCGTTCTGGGTCACAGGGGTTTGGAATCATCGTTCTTGCCTTCGACCAGTGAGGTCATCGTTTCCACGCTCTGAATAAAGCAGGGTCAGTGAGTGTGCGGGGAAACCACGAAGGAACGTCGAACTGGAAAATCTACGACAATATAGTGGCCAACGCAACGTCCGTGCTCACACAAAAGAAAACAATGAGCATTCAACACGGGCGGCAAGGCAAACCCTTGGCGACCGATCTCGAGGTTACAAGATCACATGGTTACACTAATGGATAAATTGAGGTACAAGTAAATGGTCCTGCATATTTGCCATCCAAGGGTAGCCAAATACGGTCCAGGGGATTTATTCTCTAATGAGAGGTCTCCGAGGGCTACTGCTAGCAATCACTGAAGCCGCAGGTCACCGTAGTTTCACAGAACTGCATGCCTGACTGAGCGATTCTCTCGGCACTGACCAGCGAGAATATTCGAGATGGAACTCACCATGGTAGGGTGAGTACACTCAAGACGAATCACGACAACGACAGAACGTGGACACGCGTGTGGGATTATCAATTAGCGATCAAGCGTATATGCTGATACAGGATGCTCAACAGAGAGAGAGGAAGGAGATGAGATGAGATGAGCCACGCATACAGGCAGCACCAGTATATATACCCCCAGGGTTCAAATGGCACAGCACAGCAGGAGGGATCCGCATCCGCATGCCCAGACAAGGGCGTGATAGGAGATGTGCCAGCATGATATGATAGCATGTAGTACATGAGTCGGAAGTTGTCTTGTTCAGATGCATCTTCAGTTTTCAGCATTACGCGTGCGAGCAGAATTTCTGGCCAGAAGAGTGCCGTGGGCCAATACAATGAGAGGCATGAGATCAAACTGTACCATTCAGGAAAATAACAACCTTGAGCACCTCGATAGCCCACAAGCAAACACTTCAATATTTCAATCATATACATTTCCAACTGTGCCATGCCTCCCAGCATTGTCACTATCAGCGTTACTAGTACCTGTGCAAACGAACAGTACGACAGCCGATCATCATCATTTGAGGCACTCAGATATACAACATCAATTGAATTCAAACTGTCAGAAGGTTATATAATACAATGCAGCATCAATACGGGTGCGGAGGACAGGGTACGCACTCTCACGCACAACCATTCCGCTTGTGACGATCCTGGTCTGGGCTCCGCGTATAGTGATATTTGTATGAGTCGTTCTACACATCCGTGTCCTGCGCGACACTGGCAACGCGGCTTGAAGCACACAACTTAAACCCATCAGTATGCGTTGACCTGTTTTGGCAAGCCATTGGGGAAGTATTGCTCGAAGAGGTTCGGGTAATGGCGTTCAGCAACATCAGGATGACTCCTGCAATGAAGTACAGCCGTATCAGCGCTGCGACATCACGTCTGAGCAGACCCTAACTTGACTCTTCCAATCAAGTTGACCTTCCCTGAAGGCTCCTGGTCGAACTCAGCAAAGTTCACAGCTGCATAAACTGTCGGTTGGCGAGAAATGAGTCACAAAGGGGAGAGACCACTCACAATCAGTCTGGGCAGGATTCCCACGCAAGTCTTTAAACTTTAAGATCTCAGGTGGAACTTCAGTTATTGTCTGTCAGTGAAGGGCTTCACCAAGGGCACGGAGCAAAGAGCACTGACAATCGAGAACTTCGTCAGCAAGCCTTATATTCAAACTGATGTTCTGGAAAAATGGAACGGAATATCTTGGTGTTGATCCGACTGGCGGAGACAGTACACGATGAGAGGTTGCTCTCGCCAACCCCTGAGTAACAAACTCGAGTGCTGCGTAGGTGGTTAAGTCACGTTGGTGGATGACGAGCCACTCCCCAATTAGAGGGCCCTATCCTCCTACCTTTTCCGATATTGACCACAAACGTACCGGGAATAGGTGGTACATCAATCCAATCCCCAGTAAGGTTCTGAACTTGGAGACCTGGATGTGGAGAAGCTTGGAGAAGCTTTGAACGGGATGCGTCTAAGATACCACCGAGAACAACATTCGAAAGAAAACAGGTTCTCACGAAAGTCAAAAACCCGGCGTCGTAGTGAGGACCTACTCCTTGATCGGTAAGTGAGCCGTTATTGGCTGGGTATTTCACCACCTAAAATGGAGTGAAGGTGAGCCTCCGCAGTCTCGAATGCGGGCGCGCTACGAAGGACTTGACCGTCCCTTTCCCCTGTGCTGCATGCACTCGGCTGAGTCATAGAACTTGGCAAGCGCGTCGGAGGGAAGCCCAAAGGCCTCTGCTAGCAAGCTTATGAAATAGTAACTTAGAGCCTGCACTTGCAATAAGTAATCTTCCATGACCCGGCGAAAGCCGGGGATAAGGTCCTCGTCTGGCCACTGTGAATTTAGGGGAAATGAGATGCCTAGCTCGGACCAAGAAGACGAAGCTACCCATACCTGACTAGGACCCCAAAGCCTCAAATACTCTAGGAGCACCTGGCCGCCACTGAGTTTCGTGAGGGGTGGCAAAGTCAAACTGCTCCCGATAGTCTGTCTTTCCCTTGGTGAACTCTGCACCAAGTCGTGAGTACCCCAAGAAGTGCGGGGAGTTAGCCATAACGATCTTCTCCTTTGCATGCTGAGGGAGGTCGAATAAGCGGGGAATGTAGTTAACGAGACGATCGATGAGCTCCTTAGAAACGGTGTGATTCTTGAGGTATAAAAAGCCGACGTTGATCAGCGCATGGCGAAGGTGTGCGATGAACTCTGGTCGCTTTGCTTCGTCGGAGATGAAAGCGAAGTCAACAACGGGGATGCTGGAGAAATTGGAAGCCATATTCGATGAGTTTGATGATAGGGAAGTGAGGGGAAGACGAACTACAGCTATATACCTCACTCAATCTGCATGCTCAGTCAGCAACGTACCGTGACGTGGTTATTTGCGGGAACATGGGCATGATGCCATGGTCATCAGGTATAGCGCCATCGAATGCTATTGGTTGCAGCTAGGTTTGGGTTCTGGTTTCCCCACCGCCAATATTCCAGTGAAGGGGAAGCCCTACTATGATCAGCTAGATCCTCCGGAGTCCTGGCGCTAATTCGCGCGCGCCTTGCTTAGTTCCGGATCCAAAACGAGCGTGAATTCAACGAAGCTGTAGTATACGTGTCTATCTATGACAGGAGTGCTGAGGCGGTGTTCTGTACCATTATTTCACGAGGTCCGCGAGTGTGCGTATTCAACAAGTATATTGGAATTCGCGGAAAGAGTGTGCGTGCTGTGTCCCCGCGGTGATGAGCCCAGGGTACGGTAGGGATGTAGGGTAGGCAGTTGTCAATGCACAACAGAGTAGCGCCGCGGGTGACTCGATATCAACTCGTGGTTCCCTCGGATATTAATGAAAGAATACTGTATGCCACATCGTCATCGACTTGCCCTACCTCGATATTGTTAAGCGAACAAGGACACACCTCGATAAGTTCTGGACGCGCGCCCCGAATAAGGTTCGTGTAGACGAGGTTCGATTCCGAAAAGAACGGCCTCAGACCTGCTGCTTCGAGTTTCTCCCACCACTTCAATACCTTTGCAAAGTCGTTCCATGGCTGATCCTTGAATACATGTATCTCGATTTGAAGCTGGCCAATCGGGAGCGGTTCTCCGCCAAAGCTATCGATGAACGCTTCGAACGAGTCATACTCATTTCCCTCGATGTCGATTTTGAGGATATCGATGAAGTCGTGCCCATTCCTATCCATGAGGGTCCGTAGCGTATACATTTTCGGGTCGTCCACGGGTGAATGGGCGTCTTTGGGGCCAAGTGCATATGGAAAGAAATGTGAACGCTGCTCGAGTTCAGGATCCTCGTCTATCTCTGGGCCGAACTAGAAAGGGATACAGTTGAATCGGTACACCTTTTTTTGATTTTCCTGGACAGGGTGGTGCTTACGGAGTTAACGCTGAAGTCGTATCCATAGAGTTCGCAGCTGCGCGCTGCTTTCATGATATCAGCCTCGAAGGAAGACTCGCCATTGATACCTGTCAGACCAATAAACACCTCGCAGCGTGAAAGGGACGGCGCGCCGTATTACCGAACGAATACATAACGCATTTCCTTTTGTGGATGATGCGCTCTAACCCACAGACCCATTTGCCACCATCTCCCATGACGCCGACGCGTTCCACACGGTGGGGACAGTTGAAAGATGGGAGGAAGAAGTCCCCTGTGAAATGTGAGCATTACAACGACAAGGCAATTCCACAGACGGACGTACAGATAGTGTAGAATTCGCCATGCGAAGGGAATCTATGCAAGATGCTAGTCACTCTCGTCCCAAAGTAGCGCGCGTTATAATTACACACGGGTCGACTTTGCTAGGGGTCGGACCCCACTTTTCAATGAGTTTTGCTCTCCCCTCGAGCATTCTGTTGTAATGGAATTCCTCCACCATCAGTTTCTCGCGCAGCGCACTGTCGGAGAAGGGCAGCGGAAGAGGCAATGGAAGGGACAGGTGGCGGTCGGAGCGGGCAAAGAAGAGGAAAGATATGAATACTAGTACCAGGATGCACAGTGTGAATCGAGAGTTGCGCACGGCGAGCATGGCGACGTGCGTCCAGTTGGCTGTTGAGGTTAAAGAGAGGAAGGAGAGTTTGAGAAATATTGAATGGTTAAGTAGAGAAAAACTCTATCACTCCAATAGTACAACGTACATAATAATAACTGGATAGACTCGAGACAGACCCGCCGTCCATTTCAATTGGCGTGGCCACCGCCAAGTCAGGGACGCAGCTGGGAGAACTTCCAAGGCTCTGCTCTCACGTTCTCGGTCACTCCTTATCCTCCTACAGGTCTCTGATTTTGCAACTACAGAACAAACTCTATGCCCAATGAGTTGTTGAACCTGGGTGGAGCTTAACGTTGGCCCGGCTGTGTGGGCCCCTTTATCCACGCCACAGCACGACTGACAGCTGTGGGACGTAGAATCGAGGGCATACGTGAGGACCATGTCAACAACGAGAGGCCGCCACACAATTCGAGTTGCTGCACGAACTGTAAGTACCACACAACCACCCACTGAACCCCGAGGGCCTGAGGCCCCTCAACGCGACTGGTTGTTCCCCATAACATGTTGTTCTGCCAACTTAATTGTCTGATTATCTAATCACTGTGATCGACAGGGCCTAGATCCGAACATTTTCGATCTCCGCACCAAATTCTAAACTGAGTCTGTGATCAGTGAACGGAGCCAAATTTACAGTGATCACGTGAAGATTAGGTAATCTAAGTCACTTGAACTTCGATCACCTTATCCAGCACAAAGATGATGCACACCTCAATGCCAGGTGTTCAACTGGTTGCATGCACCTAGTACATATCTGGAAGATGCTGCTCCCTTTCCCATGCGTGAGACATCAGCATCTCCACTGTTAACGTTTGCTAAGGTAATTTGCACCAGGATGTGTCCTCTGAAAGTGAACATCCAGGTGACCAGGCGGCTTTGCCAAGAGACATCCCCCTTCTTCAGGGCCTGAATGTCTTCTGTTGACCGTCAAGGTCAAGGGAGACACATTCCCTGAGGTTCCATAGTGTTTGATCATGATATTGTAGTACAGGCTGAGACAAGCAAAGCAAACCACTTGATTATCCAAGTGCAATCTCCATGTGCTTTGGTGACCATGTTGTAAGATCCAACATGCCTGATTAGTGGGTGGGCGACACAGGTGCCAGGTTCATATTGCCTCTATTCCGGTGGCTTTGAGCCTTTGATATCTCCGCCATTTGCTTTGACCCATTGATTTACAAAGCGACGATAGTCCGCAATAGGAAGGCGTGGTTGTCTGCCGTTTCGATTGTCCTTGTGGGTGGACTGGCAAAGCGTCTTCAAAGCGTTATCGTGCAAGTCTTTTTTTTCTACTTTATTTTTGCCTCCGCGTGCTATATAAAAAAAAAACAGGGAACGAACTCTGCGTCTGCTCTTTCCTGCCACCAACCTCGGCGAATCTCACTGTTCTCTCCAAAGCTTCACCCACTCAAAAGGATCCCTGAACCAAGCGCCGCGTTCGCATATCTGAATACCGTCCTCTCGCCGCGTTAGACCTGGAAATCATCCTGACATCACCATGCATCCACCTATTCAGACCCCTCACGACAATTACAACCCTGAAGATTCCATGGAAGATACTCAACAAGCAACACAATCCACGCAGAGTGCCTCCCAACAGCCTTTGAATGGCCCAGACGCCAACTCTCATCTCTGGGGTTTCCTCCAGCCGTGCGGAAGCCAGCTGCGCCGCATTGACTTCTTCAAGATCGCGCCAACAGTCAGCATCGGGCGTAACCCAGAAGTAAACGAGGTTGTATTACCCGGCGGTCGAGTCAGTGAGTATGCCACACGTGTTTCATGAAGTTAGATGTACCCAACAGATTGCATTGACGCGTTTTTCATTGTGGCTCTCCCTCAGGTAACAGACACTGTCGCATCATCTGGGACGGCAAGGAGGACGAGAAGTCCGCTGTGATCGTAGCGGACTACTCGAGTAATGGTACATGGGTATGTATTTCGTGCAGGCTCGCGTCGCTTTCTCACACACATTTTCCTTGTGACCCAGATCAATGGCGTTAGAATTGGTAAAGACAAGACCGCCATCCTCAAGGAGGGGAATGAAATCGCATTCGGTACACCCCAACCACAACCAGGGAGTCTGGAAGATTATCGTACGTGGTGTTGTCGTTCGTGTCAGCCTCGCTGACCACCTGAATAGGTTTTATATACCGTCATACGGCTGCAGGACCGCCCAAGAAAGGTCTGCACGCATTCTACGATATCAGTCATGAGCTAGGAAAGGGTTCCTTTGCTACGGTGATGAAGGCAATTTCGCGCGCGACCGGTCAATGGTTTGCCATAAAGATGATCCAAGAAAGCCGAATTCGTCGTAATAATGCACAGGAAAACTCACGGAACGTTGATAAGGATCAGAAGGATACTGCGTTTATTCGGGAAATCAGTATCCTTGAGACCCTAGATCATGTCAATATCTGTAAACTCAAAGAAGTGTTTCGCGAAGGGGATAACATCGGTGAGAATTTTGTCCCTTCTTAGCAATGCACAATGGCGTGTTGACGAGTTTATCGGCTTCAGATCTCGTCTTGGAGTATGTGGACGGGGGTGACCTCCTCGAATTCATTCTCAGACACGGTGGCCTTGGTAAGTTAACTGGTCATATTATCTTCCATGTAGTTGATCTCTTCCCATCTAGATGAGCCCATAGCTATCCATCTCACACGGCAGATCTGCGAGGCACTTGCTGTGAGTCCTCTTTCTGTTCTATGTATGGTATCGTGTGGCCTGAATTCCGCCCCATTTGTAGTATATCCATGGTAAAGGGATCGCACATCGAGATCTTAAGCCTGAAGTGAGTCGCATAGACATGTTGCGACCTAATCCTGTCTCATGAAATATGACCGACAGAACGTCCTGTTGACATCTGACAACCCTCCCATCGTCAAAGTCGCAGACTTTGGTCTCGCCAAAGTTGTCGATAGCCTTACTTTCCTTAAAGTGAGTGTTTCGCGCACGACTTCATCTCATGCTGATTCTGCTGCCCCAGACGATGTGTGGCACACCAAGCTACCTTGCGCCTGAAGTCGTTACGCAGAATAGTGACGAAGGTTACAGTCATCTCGTCGATAGCTGGAGCGTCGGTGTCATCGTATTCTCTATGTGAGTTTTCACTCTCATATGTGAGACGCCCCGGTGACATTTCACCTTTTGTGTTCAGGTTAACCAGTTCGAGTCCGTTCGTTGAAGACGAAAACCAGCGTGACATCAAGATCCGCATAGCGGAGCGTGTCATTGATTGGAGTACACTCGATTGCGCAGGGGTGAGCGAACTAGGTGAGCTACTTCAACGTTACAGAACACATGGACCAACGCATTCTTCGGACAACAGCCAAAGACTTTATCCGCCAGCTCCTCGAATACGATCCACAGAAACGTCTCTCGCTCTCTGCAGCGCGGGGACATCCATGGCTGAATCGGACCTCAGAAGGGTCCCATCATGGGCACCGAGAGATCCGCGAAGATTCGTCTATCCTATCGCTTGATCCCGCCGATTCTTCCTTGACATCTCTCGCCGATGAAGACATCGCCTCGATGGACGCCGCGATACACAGCGATGAAATTGATGCCGATGGCCACGGTGGTATGCACACGAAATTGGAACGGCTTCAGCTAAATCAGCAGCACCGCAACGGCAAAATTGCACTCCAACGACGAAGCCAGGTTCTAGCCGATGCCGCGGAACACGACAAAGAACTACTTGAACCATCATGGCAGATGTTGAATGCGGCGGGTGCTTCGCCGCCGTCTCGTGTGGGGAAGCGGAAGCTAGGGGCTGATGCTGAATCGAGCGGAGATGGCGAACAGGGGCGGGGCGGAGGGGCGGAGGCTGGCGGTTGGAATCTCGATGGCGTCGCTCCGAATGGTAGGGGAAACATAGATGGTCAACCACATGACGGAAAGAAAAGAATTAATGCTGTAGGCGAGTCGGGACGCAATGGAAAAACTACCCGTGCAACGAGAGGGAGAGGGCGTGGCGGTAAGTCGCGGTTGCACGAGGCCGCTGCGGGCATGGTAATTGAGGAGGAACATATGGACCAGTGCGAGGTTCCGACCCCTCCACAGAAACCAAGGAGATCTTCTCGTCATTCGCCAGCGAAGATGGCGCGCAGGGCTTAGCCCTTTGCCCTCCTATCTCATTCCACTTTTTTTGACTTCTTATCCATTGATTCAATAGTGATGTATGCTCTCAACCTCACACTCTCGTTTAATTATCGTTTTGTGTTGCCCATTCTTACGTCCTTGGCTTGGCTTACACTCCCATATTCCTCTATCTAGGTCGCACCGTTCATATGGTGACCACAGATCTATACGTATATGTACATGATCATGATGGATGAATGAATGAAGTATCTGTATTATCCAGATCGCGGTGGTGGGTTTGTGCAGCTGTCTGATTCAAGGCTTGTATTCGTGAATGTAGATCCGCTAGCAACACTCGCGATCACCACATGATTTTAGGGTCGAGACGTCAAGCGGACCACTACTCTCGCCATTAGTCCCCGTCAGGGCCCCATGAGCTCAAGCTGTCGGCTTCAGGGCCGACGCCGCTCGTGACCAAGAGATATATGTCTCCAGCTTAAACTTCCGAATAATTAATATACTAGGCAAAATTGAGGTCGGGCTCATTGGGCGAGACTTGAAAATTGTTCCACCTATGCGAACAGGTTCGCTCGAGTCCCTGAAACTACCCGACGCAGTGGGGTGCATGCGTGCAGATCTCGGGGGCAAGTTTCCAAGATCCCCTCCGCAACCTAAGTCACATCAGCTGCCTTCGGACCGGGAGCTGCGAACAAGGCGTCGAACACACTGACATGCGTTCGATACGGCGACGACGACGGATGGATGATGGTGCAATCAACCTTAAGGGTCGAGAGTTCTGCAGTCCTGCGGATGCTCGCAACGTGTGGTATTACCTGGTATTACAAGTACATCCTACAACTGGCAAGTTTTATAGCCATCGCTCTACAGTGATCGGACCCACCTCAAGTTGTCAATTACAACACGGCGTTCAGCGGACCCACATTTCGATTCCCGAAGCGAGGCTGTGTTAAAAAAAGAACGTTTTCCAGCAGTGCGGATTGGGGTGAGGGTTTTTGCTATGCGGCGTACGTATTACCGCGCGCGGTTCCGAAACGATGTTATCAGTGTAATAATGGACGCGCTCCCAGTGGCGCTCGCCAGGAGATGCAGTGCGAAGCAGTTCGAGAAGATTCTTGCTGTCGATCTGTTTGAAGTTCGGACCAGAAAAGGATTCGTATACGGCTTGTGAGCTGCGCGATCTGGCGGTATTTTCTGTAAGGACTGGTCTTGCATGCAGGAAATAGGGCTCACAGTAGAAATGTATTTGAAGGTAGAGAAGGTAAAGAGTGATGTTCATATTGTTATGCTGGTAAGAATTTTCTATGCAATGCAACTTTAACTGTAGCGATCCACGATCAACAGGAAGCGCTGATCGTTGCCCAAGCGTATCCAGTACAGAAAGGCGCGGAACCTGCTACTGAAATTACGCGACAAAAGAAACGTGTCGTGACTGGGTATAACATGAAGTCCCTAGTGTCACATATTACATGGGGTTGGTTCTTGTCTGCTGGTAACCTTCATTCATGCGAGGAATAAAATGTGAGACATGAAACTAGACGATAGCAAAACGGTGAAAAACGAGGAGAATACCAAATGACCTATAAACTATGCGCATACCCATATGCCCTTGAAAGAAGAATATCACGTCGCTTGAAAACATGCCGAGGCAACGAAGTAGATAAATGATAGGAGGAATGAATTTGGGGGACACCCAACCAAAACAAGAGAAACGACCGGGGCGGCAAAACGGGATGATGAGAGTTCTTTACGTCTGCTTATCCGATGAGCGTTTCCGCCCTTTGTACAAGGCTTTGGTGGATCCAGAGGCGTTCTCCATTTTTGGTGAAGGTCCATTCGTTCCATTGGTTGCTCCTACCACTGGCGAAGTTACGGTCGAGCCAGAGAGCGCTGATGGCGGTGACCCAGCCCGTGAGACCAGCGACCTGCGCTTGCGCATCCCGCGTCGACTCTCAAGGGGGTATTCACACTTCAAATGGCGCCGAGCACATTGACTAGTTGAAAAGGGAGTATCAGTAAATGTTTACGAAGAATCATGGGCAACAGAATATCGAAGAGGTGGTACGCAAATCAGCAGGCATGGATGCCTCCGCCTCTAGAGGTGGGAATTGGTAGGAGATGCCACATGCCGGTGCGAAAGCAACGAAGATGGCATTTACGGGACCCACAGTTTCACAATCCCTCGGAGCGGAATGCGTTCCCACAAGGCGTCCACAAGTCAGACAATAAGGGAAACGCTGCACAGGACTAACCAGACAGCCGTCTAGTCGCCAACAAGAATGGCAAAGAGAAAAAAGAAAAAGGGAAGAGGTAGGCAAGACTTACTTGCACGTCTTTTCTTTAGTCCCTGGTGGTGGAGGTCCGCACGCGATCTTCCGCCCCCGACAGAATAGGCAGGCAAGCGCCGGTTTCTTATCCATAGACTTGCCCTTGGAGTGAGGTTGCTGTGCGATCAGAGAAGTTCGCGCAAGTTGATGAGTCCTCGGAGATGGGGATCGAGTCCGACGCCGCGGCGCCTGTGCGGAAGTCGTATACTCGCGCGCAGGCGTTTGTTCATATGTTACCGATGCATTCACCCGAACAGGGTCGTTATTGGGGTATGCCTGGCTTGGAACAGTCACATGAGTTTTGGAGTCGCTATCCGTCCAATCACTCGACTCCGAAGCCGATGAAGCTGTAAATGACTTTGGCGGTTGAGGTGCAGCTGGCAAGGTCTGCTCGAAGGGTATCTTCTCGTCCTGAGGAGACGAACACTGGAAGTAGGACGAAGGGATCGTTGACACCGAAGAAGAGGAGGCAGGAAGGTGATCCATCAACGAATCACCGGTGCCAAGCATCGGCGCGACCGAGTTGTCACCATTGTCAACGTACGAGAAGTCTACGTTGGGATACTGTGACAACGGAGATAGGTCCTGAACATAAGAGTTATCGATGGGCGGATACTCGGACGGATTCGTCGACGAATACATCGACTGTGCGGGTGATTGCTAAAAGGCATTCAGCGATTAGATCATTGATAGGACCAGTCAACTGACCGATTGTTGGGCCGGCTGAGAATGAGAATACGTTGCAGTGGTGGATGGAATCGCGGGAGAGACAAGCTGGTATGCAGGTGCCTCCCCCAGCGAACCAACCAAAGCATACGACTTGAACGGAGGAGGGGCGCGATCCGAGGCAATTAGCGACCATTGTTCGTGAAAATAGGGATAATGCAACGTCGGAGGGTCATTGGACAAAGCAAAGCCATCGCACGGGTCATTGGAAGGGATGAGGACCGGCTGACCATACAAGCGATAGAACTGGAGGTCCGACTCGTCTAAGGATTCAAAGAATGAACCCGATTGCAATTCTTCAAAGGAAAAAGATCGTTTGACCCTTGGCTTTGGAGGGGATTAGGAGAAGTGCGAGTGGGGGACAACCAGCGTTACCTGAACACAAAACCGGGAGTCGTAGTCCGAGGTACATGGAACCTCCGGACAGCCGTCATGCTGAGTGGTGGGATAATAGGCCATCGTGCCGTGTCGTCTTGAGGAGAGAGGGGGGGGTATTAGACGGGAGCTCTGGCGTCAAGAATTTATACTTAAGAAGTAGTCGAGGGACGAGCATGCGGGTGTGTATGGAGGGGTCACGGGGGGGTCACGAACCAGACTCTCGGATCCACATCCAATCAAATTTCCCATTCGGTCGCAAAAACTCAATCTACCCCTCTTTTCTTATCAAGTCCCTATCCCCATCGGGACACGCAAGCGCCTGCCTGAACAACCCTCCAATACTCATCCACCCATGGCAACACGAACGACTAATCAGAATCTCCTCTCGAGATAATAAGCTGTTGCTTTCATTCCACTGTTCATTTCCCCTCACTCGCATTTTTCATATCCACCGGCACTTAGTGCAAACAGGGAAAAAGTAAATAAATAAATAAAAAATTCAAGATGGCGTGCAACAGGTGCTAGACCGACTGCTACGCGTCTGCCCACTATTCCGGTCCACAACACGACTGCACTAATGCGAAAACACCCCTTGGCATTATACTTGTTTTTCATTGCTGCTAAGACAAACTTGTCGAGGGTTCATACTTCTTAGTTGCCCCATTTTTGGTTCCGAAATACATATCCGCTTACCATTTCCACATTTGGGGCGAATTACATACTGTGAATTACTGGTGCAGTCCCTGACCTCGCCTTCTCCATCCTCCACAAACCATGCGAATGTTTTACCCAATCCATGACGAACCGCAGTCCACTCGGGTCTGCGTACGACCTTGCCGTAATCACCACACCTATCAGTTACACCCATCCTTTTTTTTTTGATGCTGGGCACTCTCTGAGTCTGCGCCTTCCGGACGACACTGCAACGAAAACTCTCACTGCGTCTTAGTGCGCTGTTGCATTGACAAGTCACTCTCAGTTACGTATAATTTCGAAGCTCCCTCTTGAGTCTTATTGGATGTGCTGATGCGGCCCTCGTTATCATGGCTTGAACAGACTCGTCTAATATTGGTTCGCACTTGTCCATATATATCGGTAGGGATCCATTGTGTTGGGCAAGTGCTGTTGGTGCCTGGTAAGGGTGGTATACCCTTTGGTACCAGGTCTGGCAGGCTACTGTCAGCATTATCATTCAACCAGATTTTACATCTCCAAACAAAAGCTACCGGACACACGTGCGCCCATATTCCAGTGTCTGCGCAGTGAAGATAAATGAGAGCCCTCCCTCCCGACCACCCTTCACGCAATCGCATCTCTTGCCTCAGGGATCTCATGTCCCTCCGTCCGTGCCGCCTCCCCGTACATCAGCAGTCCAACATAGGGCATCACGTTATACTTGAGTGAAAATGTGGCAGGGGATGTATTCCTGTATCGAAACGCCAGAGTGATTGTCAGAGACACGGTCGTCGGGTCAGCAGCGGGCACAGTGAAAAGATGGCATGATGGGTTAGTGATGAAACCACGCTGGCCAGCAGGTAGAAATGAGAAGAAGCTAAATTAGGCGAACTTGCATCATGTAACGGAAGCTACCACACCTCAGCTAGGGCAGAAAAGAAACTTTGTATGACGCAACACATGCGAGGAATGGAGAGAAGCAATGGATAAAGGATTGAACGTAGAAGTGAACGACGTGTCATTGGCGCTTATCATGACACGTGTGCATGTGCAAGCATCGCAACGTCACTCACAGCTACCTGTGGACAAGCAGCACAACAGAGAGGACACTGACACGCGGCACATCCCTGGTTGCAATGCACTCCGGATAAACGAATGAATGAATGAAACGAGATGAAAAGACAATCGACCACACCATAAGAAGCACTAAGGGACCACTCCAAAAGTGATCGCAGCACATCAATCCAAAACCCAGGTGACACACCCACATGCCAACACGGAAAGCAGAGGAAGATAAAGAAAGGCTCACTTGAAGGATTCATACAGCTCTTTAAGCTTATACTTGTTGCGTCCGGAGGCTACCACAACATGGGCGTCCTCTTTCCGACGGACTATCCGATCCCAAAGGACGATGGTGTTGTTCACCTGCTCTTCGACAGGAATGCGATCGAGACCGAATGGAAAGCAGCATGGCGGTGGGGGCGCACAGGTATTGAAAATTGAAATAGAACATATCATGACAAAAACGATCAGTAATGTTTAGTGCTGCAAAGCTTCAATAAAGGCAGATAAACTGTGCATAAAAAGAAGGCTCGCTCGCACTGCAGCGCGATACGGATCATGCAACGTTTCCATGCCCAAAAGAGGGCGTAGACAACGCTCTCCTAGACGTGGAGGACACGTGTGGAGAACATGCAAAGCTAGTAACATCATGGAGGACAAAGACCACTCACTCCTTGCGTGTTCGCATATTCTGCTTCGAGATACACAAAGAGCTGCTTAGTATTCCAGTGGAACAAGGGGCTAAGGTCTGTGTTCGACGTCAGCGTGTTCGACAGTTGCGTCATGCGCCAAGTGATCCGTAGCAAATCGAAGCATAGATTAAACGAGCGGAACGGGGAAGGAATTTTTAGTTTCGAAGAGCCGGAGGAATAGTGACCCGGTATAGTGTGGGTCAAACAGAATGGAAGAGTACGAGCACGACGATTGAGGTCAAACATTGGTTAGTGGCACAGTTGGCGTAATTGCCATGGCAAGAAACGAACGCGAATGAAATCGAATCGGGTAAGACAGAGAATGAACACAAAGGACGAAATAGCGGAGGATGTGGACGGACCAGCATCGATATCGAATTTAACAAACCCAAACTCCTGCTCTTTGAAAGGATAACGCTTGGCCTTGGCATTGTAACTGTCCGTGCCATATCCCAACACACGGGGTGGGCGTCAGTGAGCTTGGCGAATAAAGGATACGCAGATTAGCGACC